TTGTTGTCACGGCCGGATGCGGGATGCTGCTAATTGATGATGGCGGTTGGTTCAGACGAATACAAGGTGATGACGATGATGGTTCTTATACAAGGTGCCACCTCCTCATCATGATGGTAATTTCGTGGCATTGGCAGTGCAACTGTAGCTTGTAGAGCTGCTGCCCTTGGAAGAAGAATTCCGCAGTTCGCGCGGTCGAGTAGTTTCGTAGCAATGTTGACCAGATGTTGACCATCGGCTTGACTACTCCGCTTCTGCAACGTTGTTTGTTGTCATTATGTTTTTGGCAGATAGCATGTACTCATTTCACCCTAGAAGAGAGGTTTAATCTACCTGATGCAGCAGCCTCGCCGACAGAACTAGTTTGATAGATGGAAATCACTGCTACTAGGTCGCGAAGTTCGTTGCTTGTTGCATGACGATGATGATACAGCTGCTCATGGTTATCGTGGTCATGTTGGCCGCGGACGAGGGCATGATGAGCACGATGGTGGGGCTGGTGCTGGTGCTGGTCGTGGTGGTGGTTGTAGCACTGCTGCTGCTGCTGCTGCTGCTGCTGTTGCTGCTACTGCTGCTGCTGATGGACTGTCTTGGACTTTGGCGATGCTGACGGCATATGACGGCGAGGATGGCAAGAACGACGTTGTCGTATAGGTTGGTGTGAGAAGACTTAGAAACATGCGAGCAGAAGTACGTAGTTCAGTGTGCTCGGAAATGGGCGATGGCTGTCAGCATGCTGACATTCAACTCGGCCTGTAGGGAGCTGCATTCCTATTTCAGGACGGCTACAGCGTCAAGGACTTAGCAACGCAGCAGCACAACGAATCCTAGGTGTGTTTTGTGGGTCGGGGGGAGGGGTGGCCGCTTGGCTGGACTATGCAAAGCAGGTTCAACGCAACAAGGGTGTTTAAACTTGCATGGGTTGGAGCTTTAGAATGCTCGGCCTTCCAGGCCTTTCGGAACCGGAACGCTCCTATTACTGTTTTGGTGCATCGTCCACTCAGTTGCTGCTCTTCCGTGGGCATGAGCTTTGATCTGCTTCTCAAGCTGACCGGCCTCCGAGACTAAACGGCGACGCAGCCGTCGAACGTGGTTTACTGCCATGCGTTTTGATACCGCTGCTCTTCAGCGTGCCCGCATGGCCAATGTAATCCAAACCTTGCATGCTGTACCGCGAGAAGGATGCATTGCATTCCCAGCCAATTCCACGAACATTTTGCATGACACCCTGCCCGCAGTCGGTAAAGAGTGGGGACTGTGCAGCAATGTAATGTAGGCGCCTTCATAATTAGAACAGGGTTTTGGGGCCCTTTATAGTATAAGTATATTAGGGAACCCTAACCATAATATTGGTAATTATTCAGGCTTCTACATTACATTGGGACTGCTCTGAAGGGGCGCAGACGCGTTGTGGCTTTTCCGCAGTGGCTGGGCTTTCAGATGAGGATTGGTGATACGGACCTGCTCTAGTCGCCATGCAGCCATGGCCATAGTTGTGCCGGAGGGCTACACGCCGATCGTGGCGTGGAAGTTCTGCCCACCTGGGGGGATTTTTTTAAGCTGGGCATGTACATCTTTGTGGCCTCGAGTGCAATCGGGGATTTCTCTGTCCGATTTTACTCGTAAGAGTCGAAGAGCCCATAGCATAGAGTGTTTCGTTCCCGATTGAAGGTGTCTCTAGACGTGGGGACTTCATGATCAATGTCATGGATTCCAATTACCCACCGTTGTTTTGGTGTCCACTTCTTTTGACAGCCTTTTCGGCCAGGACATGGCCAAGGATGTGCTACAGATCACGACCTTTGTCCTTCATGGAGACTATTGGTTCGCTTCGTTCATGCTCCTCTTCGTCGGCCTGAGCGGTGTCTTCACAGCCAAAGGAAGCTCGGAGGGGCCAGGCGCTGCGTCGCGCGGAAGGTCCCCACGATGGCTTGGCAGTTCATGCTCTTTTTTGAGCGGAACATCGAAGCGCCAGGGACAGGCCTCATCGGCCCCTTTCGGCGCCTCCCTGCTCCAGCTCACGCCCGCTCCAAGCTGCGAGCGCGCTTTACGGGCTTTACAGCTCTGCAAACGCCATGGCCGAGGGGAGGCTTGAGTTGGAGGCAGGGAAGGGAAGGGCTGGCTGTTGCGAGTTTTCGGAAACCTCTCTAGACTCCCATGCGCAAGTAGCTCCACGAGGGACCCACTCTCTTGCATGCACACGGCAGTACATTCGGTGTGTAACGGTGTAACAGTGGGGCTGCGGTCACGTCCCATGCACTGCCGAGGCGCAGTCGCGACGTTTCTTGGAGGCCATATTGGGGGTACTCTTGCATTCGCTTCCGTGGCCATGGCCGGGGCCCAGACGACCGTTGCCTCAAGCTCCCCGCCATTGGCTTTGACCTCCTCCCAGGCGTCGTCATCTCCGCTTCTTCGCCTGGCGCTCTGCTTCCTCTTCCCAACGGTCTGTTGCCTGTCGGCTCCAGGAAAAATTCCTGGCGCCGGCCGCCGCCTGCCGTGAGGCTGTAGCTTGTTTCACGTCGCAAATCTGGATTAGGACTTCACTGCCGAAGTGGGGTTCGGGGAGTGTGGCTGGCCGAGTGCATCCACCATCTTCAACACCTGCTTGCTGTTGTTAGCCGTGGTTCTGTGGTTCTTGTCCCGCTCCACATGTGCACGGTCCTTGCAATGTTTGTCTTGAACCCAGTCTATGGCTGCGACGCCGGAGGAGGTCAAAGCGAAGCAGCGAGAAATTGATGAATTCGCATCCCAGAACGAGCAAGCTGCAGGGCACTACACAGAGTTGAACTTGCTTGCAAATTGAATGTCGAGCAACGAAGGTTCTCAAAGCCAAGTGTCACCCTCCCTCTTTCCGGAATGCAGGACTGTTGAGAGCTCAGAGATGCATGGAGCTGAAAAGACGACTGCTGAGGTTTGCAACCGGCGGTGTAAGATCACTTTTGGCAACTTTCGAGAAGCGGCATACATGCCGTTCTTCACCGTACCGCGCCTTCGAATTCCCTGCCCCTAGGCATCTCATCCCCGAAGATGCCTAGGACTAGGCTTCAAAGCTGAGACTCGATGCTCCGAAGCCACAGTGGCCCTGAGCGGAAGACGAACAGCAGAAGCTCCAAGAAGGCTTAGGGCCCGAAGTTAGAATTGGCTGTGAGATATATCTGGATACTGGTTAAAGGCACACCAACAGAGCATCCTGGCAAATCATTCAGCTACTTGTGCTAGTCGCAAACACCCGCCCCCTCCTCGTCCGACCTGCAGGCGAACGGCCGAACTCATGTGGAAGCACGGCGTGAGAGTTCGGGAGTCGATCATGTGTCGTTGTGGGCAGGTGGTTTCGCTACTGAAACCCTAAACCCCAAACAGGTAGGAAGAAAAAAAACCGAAACCTCAAGCGAGCTTGGCTGTTGGAGGGTGCGATGCTCCGCCGTGCCTGGAGCCATCTCTCCCGCGGTCTTAGCTGACGGATCAGGGACGTCGTGATGACGCAGGGTTATAACGAATACGTAGTCACATAGTACTCTCAGCCACAGCAGTTGAGGTGTTGCAGTCGTACTTACTCGGTCCCCCGATCCTCAAAGCAGGTAGCCTCTCTGGTTTCGGCCATCTCTTTTTTCAAACAGCGGAACGGCCTTTGAAAGGCTTTAGGGCTCGGGCTCCGGAACTGAGAGGATGTTCAGGCATTCGATGTTTCACGCTCAGGAGCGTCGAAGAACGAGGCCCTAAACCACGAAGCGCGTCGTCCTGTCTAGAGACTCGGAGTTTTCGGACCCGGACAATGGCATTGGCGAGGGGAGCGACCTCCTAATTGTAACTCTACTTGATACCTCTGTTGAGGACCCCAATTTCCATGCCGTCACCAAAAGACCAGCATCTCGACCGACTACAGGCACGGAACGAGCTTCTGCACGTCTCGGAAGATGACTCGCTGGCGGACGTGTTGGCCAAGATGCAGGTGACTGCGCGAAGTTTGGATCCAAAAGGGGAGGTTTTACGTTCCAATCAAGGAGAGGCTCCAGAGCAAGCCTGACATCCTTCACATGCCTTCGATTCGTGTTGGACCATCCAGGGACCCCTCATTTCTATTCTTTTGATTGCGCGGTGCTGAGTTTCAGCTTCGAAGACCGGGACCCTCGGTCGGACCTGGGCAGCATCTGAAAGTACGACCCTGCTTCGATCCTGCATCGTGCATAGTGTGAAGTTATGATCGAGGGCACCTTCGATGGTTCGCGAAGGACACCGGAAATTCGAGTTAATGACCCGTGATCAATGCATCAGCCCAGCAACCACAACTCCCACAAAGACCCACTTACAGTAGACCCCTTTAACCCCTCTACCTTCAACCCTAAATAATCTCTAAGCCTGCGAACTGTAAACCTTAAAGCCTGTAGATTTCAGCCTGAAACCCTGGCGTCCCGCCCTTTTTCATGTCTGAGACAACACTTAGTCTTGTCGACGTGAGGCGCCCTGTGGGCATTTTCTTGTGGAGAATGGGGTTTCGCTATCATACGTTACTAGATTACTAGGATGAAGAATATTCTCTCTGATACTCCAGTATTTCTCTCTCTCTCTCTCTCTCGCACCGGTTCCCGGTGGATCCATCGAGTTTTCGAACCATACAGTTCTCACAGCTGCATAAGACATCATAAGACTTTGTTCTCCGTACTAAGACAGCGCAGACCCATTCTCAGTGCACCCCCTTCACAGATCAAACTATAAGCAAGGGCTGCTCATCAAGGTACTGAGCAGTACTCCAATGCACGGTAACGTCCTAGAATCCCTGACCTCCAGAATGGCCCTATGCGCATGGCGGTGGTCTACAACAAGTCTGTCCGGATCTTCGGTTCTGCAACAGCCAGCCTCTGGTTTTCAGGGGTTTGGAATTTAGGGCTTGCAAGCTTGGACTGTCAGTTCAGGTTTTGGTCTTGCTCTATGCGTTCAGAGGTGAAGTATGTACGATGTGTGACCCACTTGTGCTTTCCTTCCCGGCAGCTGTGCTGAGATGTATCTAAGTTAACCTAGCAGGCACGATTGAAGCCTTGATTGCGACTTGGAGGAAGCAACCGCGGCTAAGGACGCAACGGCCTCTACTTCCCCTTGGACCGCAAGCATAAACGGCCTAAACGTAAGATCCCAAACCCTGTTAAGAAAAGCAAACTAAACTTAACCCCCCCAAAATGGCTACCGCGGGAAATCGGGCCCTTGCTACACTGCAGCAAGCCGGCTCGATATATTAAAGGATTGTATATTGTGCATCATTGTTCATTACAACACAGTGTATTAGTTACGTTATCGTACGATATAGCAGATCATAGCAATTATTCTACATCATGGTACGTTACGGTACACTATATAGCAACTATATAGTATATTAAAGTATATGGAAAGGCCACTTTGCCACTTTCAGGGATTTTGGTTCCTGTTTTATCCTAAAGCTCCGGGTCGCCGGCGCCACTGAGAGTTTAAGGGAAAGGGTTTACAGTACTTAAAGGGGCTCCTTCAAGGGTACCTTAAGAGGGTCTCTACGGACTTATGGCTTAGGGTTAAGGGTAGGCCAGTTGCAGGGATAGTTGCAGGGTTTCTGCTGGGGATTAGGTGTAGGGCTTTGGAAAAGGTGCTTGCGTCGCAGGTGCAGGGCTCTCGGGATTAGCCAGCGGGCTTGAACAAGCTAGTCTACAGGGATCTTCCCATTCACGGAAGGGTTTCGGTTTGATATTTGGATGCAGTTTTCTGCTGCTTGTCACGCTACAGTATACTATACTATACTCTGTCATGACATATCATGTCGTATTTTGCGGATAGTGTATTTGATCGAGTTATGATCCCGAGGATCTTAGACGAGAGCAGACCTGATGCACCTGCCTTGGGCGTCATCACGATGGCGGTGTCTCTGCACAATTCGTGTCCAGGTTTAAGGGGTCAGGAGTTAAGGCTTGCAGTAGGGTCGGGGTTTTGAGAGCAGCATAGGTCTCACGGTTTAGGGTCTTCAACTTAGGCTTTTGAAAGGCGTCCATAAACAATTCCTGCGGTGTGGGCTTCAATTAAGATACCTCCGATGACTTGACCACAATGTAGCTGGCCGCGTTGCTGGCATGGCTTGAGCCAGATAGATCATAGCAGCGACAAAGGCTGCTCGTTGATATGCGTGCCATTCTGCGCCAGTCCTTTGAGAACATGTTTTGCCATCATGCCCAACTGCCCAACTCTGTGTTGTTTGTGCGTATGTCCCAGGGCTTCCCTTCAAATGCCAAGTCCTGTTGAATCTAAACTAGGGCATCCCACGTATGACGATGCCATGACGATCATAATTTTGACGCTTCTGTTAGATCGTTTTTCCGTGTTGTTTGACCAGTGTTCATTGTATGAACTGGTTGTGGCAAGTATGAAAACATTTCTGGAAGACCACTCGCGTTTCTATCTGGCTGTTGTTCATAGTGCTACTGCTACTGCTACTACGGCTGCTGCTACTGCTACTACTCCTGCTGCTGGTACTACTACTCCTGCTGCTGCTGCTGCTACTACTACTGCTGCTGCTGCTGCTACTACTACTACTACTACTACTACTACTACTACTACTACTACTACTGCTCCGGGCGCTGTTGCCAAAACCCTGTCTGGGCTGAAAGCACCAGACCGGATGAGTCTTTGCGAGCAAGTCTTTTCGCGTAATCTTCGGGCCCTCAGAAACTTGAGCTAGGGAAACGAAAGAGGTGCAGTGAGACTTGCAACTTCGAGACAAGCTTGAAGTTTCTGAAAGGAAGAACAGAGTTTGTGTAACGGGCAGTCACCTGTGGTGGGTTTCTCGGTCACCAGCTGTTTCATTTCTGAAAGTTGCAACAGTACTGATACGAAGTAATGTATACGGCCCAGCGATGCGCAGGATGTCGTGCAGCAGCTCTTGCTGAGATGCTTTGCTTGCATTCAGCACGCGATCACTCCTCACTGTCATCTCCTTCCCCATTCTGGCATGCTTTGGGTTTAGATGGTTTTAGTTGGGTTGGCTAGCCGCTAGTGGTCATGTGTCTTGACAGCTCCTTTCATTACGAGTTTCATTCGTCGAGTCGAGGCTTTTAATCGGGCTGCATTGATCCGCGTGTTGAGCTGTTCAGCACAGGAAATCGCACCATTGAGTTGTGAGCGCATGCTATGCATGACACCTAACCCGGTATGGGTTTGAAAATCCATGCACCCATTCTGCACAAGGTGAGAAGAAGGATGGGACAACGAGGTCGAGCCAACGGAGACCATCTGTGACAAGGCTTCCACGTCCAAGTTGGGCCTGCCGCATAGCCCAGATCTTTCACACAAAGTGTTTGGGACCCAGAGAAGCTTCACAGTTTTTTCATTGGTACCACGAGGGCGATAGGCTGAGACAGGTCTTTTGGGAGTTTCGCTTGTTTCGAAAGGCTTAAGCCCAGGAGAGGATGCTAAATTAGCTACACACGACCAGCTTAGGGACAGATGCTCGTGGATTCGAAAAGAGTGTGTATATATATATATATATAT